GTTGTCACCCCCCGCACCTCCGATTAGCACAGTTAGCTACGTACTGTGCAAAAGAAGTTCTACATATGGTACGTTACAATAGTCACATATGACATGGTGAATACATTTACGTTACTTGCATTAAGATAAAATATTCGTTCATTATTATGCCATGTCTTATATAGATATTCTTTTGCGATTGTTCTTATCATTAGACTGTCACAGGAATGTGGAATTCGTAAAACTGGCCAAAGACCACCAAAAGAAACAGAGACACGCTTGTTTGGTCATCTTCGATAGCTCACTATTGTGGCACTGGAAACGAATTATATCGGCTTGCAAAGCCCCGACAACCTCACTCTTGCAACAACAACAAAAAAACAAGACCAAAGCGCAAGAGCAGGGCACTCATCAGCGTTGCATAGAGCTATGTTTAGACTGAGCAGCCGCAGGTGTGAAGAAGGAAACCCACAATACTTCAAAACAATCTCAAACAAGACATTGCTTAGCAACAAGGCACTGTTTGCTTTACGAACTATGCTGTCAGAGCTCTTATCCAGCTCCACCGAGATCCCGAGCTGGAATTCCACAGCTCTCACGAAAGATAAAACCAGGTTCCCATGTGTAAGGAGTGTTATGGTATCGGCTTGTCACGAACAACTGCACGTGAACACACACACATGACAAAGATCCCTGTTTATCCTTACATTAAGTATTGGCGAGTGCCGTTTGCAATGACAGCAGAACAAGAACGTCGATTGTGAGGCCTCCACTATGCCCAGCAGCCTTTGTCTCATCAGTGCTGATCGCTCATTGCTCAGGCTACACTTTTAAGGCTGAGCTGACCTAGGAGAAGCCCAATGCAGGATCAAATACCAGGTGTGCTTGATCGATATATGCCAGGATGTTGTTAATGTTCTATGCATCGCACGCAAATATTAAGAACATATTAATTTGGTTTCATACTTTACTTGGTCAAGCAAACACTCCAACATCGCCATCGAAAGACTGCAACCCACACTCACTCATCAACACAGTCAGCTGCTTGTTCTATGACAGATCCTTGATGGATAACACGAACGGCGCTGCCATACCATTCCCAAGTTATTCCACAACGTCAAGAATTGTTATTTTACTGCAGGAGAATGCACAATTGGAAATTGCCGTGTTGATGTATAAATATTGGTTTAACATTGGCTGCAGAATGTTGAAAACCGACCAACTTTCACTGGCTGACAAAGAGTGAAGCTGATCCATTCTCAGCTCTATGGAAAGGGGAACTTAAAGGTCTTCGCAATTACTGAAAAGAAAAAGAAAACGAAGTATGGAACAATGCAAAGCAAATGTTCTGACAATAGTATAAATTCGACGTCTTTGGCACAACATTTGCTGGTGTTTGCCTTGTGCAGACGTGAGATTAATCACCTCACACATCTAAAGAGAAACGGAACAAATACAACATCAAAGCCAAGGATCCCCCGTGTAGCCCTATACGAACACCCAATGAAGGCCGGCACGGCACACGAGGGGGTGGGTGGCCAGCACCACGCCCGACCGCCTTTGTATCCCCAGTGGCGACGTTTAACACACAGTTCCAGGTAGCTCATTTTGAGGGCCCCAGGACCAGTTTCAGATATTCGCCACCGATGTTGCCTGTGGGTGGGAATCGAACTCGCCATCGCCGGGTTTGTAGCCGCAGCCGCAGCGCTTAAACAAATCTCGACGCCAAGTCGTGAGCGGACAACACAAAAAGTTCCCAACTGCGCCTCGTCCACCGTGTGCTTGTGCGAGTTTTCAGCAACGCATTGTGCATTATTGCCAATTCGTGTTTGCACACGTTTCATCGCCCAATCAGCAAAGTGTCGCGGTGATTGTTTTGCTGTGGGTCGTCGCAACGTGGCATCCCGTCAAACGCGAGAACTGCCACCGGCAGTCAGGGCCGGATTAAGGCACCACGGGGGCTTTAGGGGTTGCAGCCCAGGGGCCTCCACCAGCTGGAGAGCCCTCCAGAGATGAAGTGAAAAGTTGTTTAATTTGTGAATGCTTATTTGTTGCTAGCCGTGTAAAAAATAAGAAAAAAATTATTTTACTTTGTTTTCGTTTTGAAAATATTACTGGGGGCCTCACAGTACCTGTAGCCCAGAGGCCTACAAAATCTTAATCCGGCCCTGCCCGCATGTAGCACAGCAGATGGCAAAGGATGTGAACTACCAACGCACCCAGGCAGTTCACATTTGTATATTCACTTTGCACGCACATCATGCGCGCGACAACGCCTGCATCGCATTTGCATTTAAAGGAAAGCGTTCTATTAACAATGGCAAATGCGGCTGAAACGTTGCATGAAAGAAGCATTGCATTTGTCTGAGCGAGTGTGGTTTTATAGTCTGAAAAGGTATGGAAATTACTGGATTAATGTGACCGAACATATAAAGGAGTACAATCTCCACACACTGACTGCAACGTTGCATCCCTAAGCTATAACCAGATTGTAAATAAAGGAACGTGTAATTACTGCACATTCTGGTCAATGCTGAACTTTCAACTTGTAAATGAAACATCTTGAATTCTCTACAGTTAAGTAACAACACACAAATATCCAACATTGGTCAGGTGACACTGGAACAGGGAATTGGACTCACAATTGTAAGCCCACGACTGTACAACGAGGAGGTATTATGGGGTATGTAACTCGGCCCTAAATCATTCTGCTGTTGACAAAAGTACAAGAGTGAAAACCTCTTGAAGCCACACTCGAGTAAGCTGGAATGTTTCAGATGTGAAAGTAGAACATTGTTTGTAAAGCATTGAAGTCTACTGTATTGTTGGCGAGGGTGACTGTGTGTGGGTAAAAAAATTGTCTGGTTGTCATGCGAGTCGAGACGATGTTCCTTGAAATATGACTTTCATCTCTGCTAATTGAGGCAGTTTGCGACCATACAGCATATCCCAATTATTCCGTGCATTCGTATGTATTTAGTGGAATGTAAAAACAAAATCTATGCGGTTTACCAATTTCAATTTACTCAGAAATTACCCAGTTGGGTAAAGCTACATCGCAACATCACCCACTGTTGTAAAATAACTAATGCAAACTATGTCTGTGAAACATCGTTTCTTCGTTTTGCGATAGCCTTGCGATCTAAGAATGGAGCGAATACCCAGTGTATTATTTATATTTTACGTCATACAACACAAAATAGCATCCATCACCAACAAAGTAACTGACTTCCAAACAACACCCAGCATCACATTTCCCGTTGGAAAAAACAAATCCAAGACTACTTTTATTTCTACAGAATACAATCCGTGCAAGAGAATTACACTTGCCAGTCTGGCGGGTATTCGTGTCCAAGTGCAAATCTGTTTACATAGTTAGGGCGCAGCTCCCTGTCCTGTCGTAAATTTCCATCGTCATACATTCTGCTGGGGTTAAAATGTCAGCTGGAGTGCATTGTTTTGGAATCCAGCACCAGACGTCTCCTTCAGCGAGCGGAGAAGAAGGTTCATGGGGTGGGACAGTCAAGAAAGAACCGCCGGGTGAACATGATTTGAGGGTACAAAGCCAACCGTTAAAAACGTATCCCAAAATATGGTAAGACGTTATACACGCATCAATAGGGAGTTTGTGTGGAAACACCACTGTAGACATGTCAAGCTCAATTCCAGATGTCCATTGATGATGCAATGGTGCAGGCAATAAATTTCATTTTAAGAATGTAAGTCCCGATTGCTGAAATGTATCATGCTAGGTGAGCCATACCAGTCCCGTAATGTAATTATTGAACACACAGGATTCATTGTGGATTGGTGCTGAAAAAGGGTATGGAGGACTCATCATCATCACCATCATCTCTACCATTTACAGCCCTGAGGCAGTGAACGAAATTCCATATTGTACAGCCATTGTTAAAGTGACATTTTAGCTTATCAATCCTGAAATATCAGAAAGGCTGAGTTGGAAATAAAACACATTTTGTGCATAATTGATTATGATTACATTTTAAAAGTATATATTTCACCGCAATAAGCGATTATACATGGGTTAAGAAACGCAGGCATACTGTAACATTCTGAGGCAGAGCCCAGAGACAACAGCAAAGACGTTTTCTTTCATCATCGCAAGATACGCCGGATTCAAAACTCCCTCACTCAGACTGCCGCTGAAACAATCGCGCACGCCTACGTAACCTCCAGACTTGATTCCTGTGATTCTCTCATACATGCGCTCTTCCAGAGTCTCCCACTTCAGCGGATTAAACTTGTGCAAAACGCTACTTGCAAGGGTGCTGACCTCAAACCCATACACGTGACCACCATTACCATCATTCTCCACTCTATAATCAAGCTTAGGATTGCACTTATTGTTTTCAAAGTTGGGCCAATTAGCCCCAGAAAATTATGGAGCGGGGGGGGGGGAAGAATGCCCGGGCCCCTCCAGCCCCACCTCCCTAATCCTGCTGAAGGATTGGCCCACATTATAATTTCCTATAGGCAAGATTTTTGTGTTTTCTCCTCCCAAACAAGGTCATGCTACAGGGTAGAACTATCATGGCCATGAATGGAGATTTAATTGTGCCGAGTGGTCCTTGTACGTATGCACGTTGAACTTGTGAGAATAGGTTTTCCCCTTTTTCCTGGCAACAAAACAGGTGTTAAGATGTTCAAACACCAAACTGAAACCTTTTACAAGGAATCATGTCTGCATTAACCACAATGCTTGTGGTCAGAATGCAAACAAAAACCATACTCTGATGAGAAATGTATTGTCTTTGAAACTGATTGGTCCATACCAGAGACAGCTTTATTTCGAGTCTAGGCTAAAAAAAAAGCACATGACTATTTATGATCCTTGACGAGACCAGCAAGGTATTGTGGTTCATTTGGGGCAACTACTTTGTGTGTAATGAGTGCGAATATGGCAATGTGAACGTAATTCCTTGCAGGCCACCATGTCTGCTTTTAGAGATGACGACAACGACGACGGCGATGATTGACGATGAGACACGTTGCTCGCTCACCTGAAGTGGAGCTCCAATTGGGTGTAGAGGTAGCGGAGCAGGGCACGCCGGGCCACGATCTCCGCGTGGCAGTCGTTGAGAGCCAGCCCACGGTCACTCATGTACTCGCCGTTTACGCACTTGGTTCCCGTCGCCACTGATATCACCTGCGCATCTTTAACGTCCAACCCTGCCACCGAGAATCACCGAAACAACACCGTGTTACGACGACGACCATGAGGAGAAATGTGATGTTGTTGTGCCGAGTTGGTTTGTTAAGCCAGAATGTCAACCGGCGAACGCTTCATACCCACGGTGATACGGGGAGACCGATATCGCGGATCCTATTATCTGCAGGTTTATCCGCAATTCTATTCCTATTATCCACGGGATATAAATTCACAGATAACCCGAGAATAATAGGAAGACTTTGCCACACGACTTATCTGCAGAAAAAGCACGAGTATTAAGGAGCAGCTTCGTTGTGCATTTAATATGGTCACAGATAATAGGAGTTACTCTTTGGTTCTTTCGGTAAAGTCACGTATAAAGAAAATAAATTAAATAATAGAATACGCCGTTTCGATTGCAACACAAGCAACCGTCATCAGGAATAACTAAATTTGAAAGAAAGAGACAAAACACAAACACGGAGACAGACACACAAGCAGAGAAAAACAACACAGAGACACACAGAGAGAGACACACAACATAGACACACAAACAGACACACAAGCAGAGAGAGAGACAACACAGATACAGAGAGAGAGAGACACACAACATCGACACACTCAAATCAAGTTTAGATAATAGGTCCCCTCTATTGTCATGTGCTCGAAAATGCCGATTCAGATGCATCATATTCAAGGTATATTTGGTTATGATGGCGTGGCTATATATTTGAAAACATATTTACTAAGGTTGTATGAGCATTGTTTTGCCTGTGAAGGCCGCAAAATGAAATGTAGGTGTTGGTGTTGAGGTTTCACAGCGTGAAATATTCATAAACACACGTGTTTGCCAAACATTTCACAAATGTGGTGTCTATATGGAAATACAATAATGGTCTCCCACAATAAATTCAGGAATGTATTGACATATATTCATAATGTAAAGGAAAACTGCTCTCAGGTGACATATGTCATGGCTGCGCCGTGTCATTCCTCAACGGCCTGGAAGTTTGGTATTGCACCATGAAGAAATGCGATTGCTACCGCGTACACAAAAATATAAACACAAATGTGAATTACATTAGTCTAATATAATTGTTTTTACAATTATAAAAATCCTAGCATCCATTAGGATTTCAATGAAAGCCAGAACATATCTCTATGATCGTAAATCAGTTGACACCAATGTGTGAGATAAAATATTGAAAACTTATTTAGGACCGTATTGTAGAAATAAATAAGTCATGTGGTGGCCATTTGGATTGCGCTAAGCAGGGGGTCTCTGGCATCAGTTTGGGCAAGCTCAATATATTCTTAGACAAAAAAAAACACCGTTTGCATTGGACAACCTCAAGTGAGAAAATTGGCAAGTAACCGTTTCTTATTTGTGTGAAGAACTGAATATGAGCACACGATCAATGTACCACATTGTTCATAATAATGTCATCAAATTTCACAGTGTGTGTGAGTGTGTGTTTCTCGCCAGATAACAGCTGAATTGAAGGATGAATTGCCAGGTGATTGTAGGCCGATATCAGCTCAATTTAAGGACAAATTTGCTAGATTCCTTTACTGCATTGTGAGAGGAGGCAAATTATAAGTGTGTCCCTGTCAAAAAGAGAGAAATTTGGATGTCTTGAACCTCATATCCAGTGGCGTATATACACGTTTGTCTCATAAAGGAACTGCTCAACAGGGGATAATTATCGATAATGGAGGAGTTGTAGTACACTCCGATTGGCTACGTACTGTGTGAAAGAAGTTCAACATACATACATACATACGGAGGTTTGCTCCCATAGGCAAAACACTCAGCAACGATTTGTCCACACTTTAAATGCAGGACCTATCTGAAAAAAAGAGTCTTAAGACTCAGAAAGACTTCGATTAGACACATATGAGCCTTGTTCGATGCCTCATATGATGGCACATTTATTTATAAAATTATGGAGCGATGCAGGCCTCAAGAAAATCTATCGGTTTTTTTTCTCCATCTGGGTGATAATTGCTCACTGGAAAAACGAGGGGGTGACTTGAATGAAAGGTAGTGGTTCAAAAACATATGTTAACATTGAATATAGCGTCATTTTGTATTTTAATTTGCGTTTAGTTTGTTTTCCTTCCCTGTTCACCTCCGATTAGCACGGTTGGCTACGTACGGTACAAACAAGTTCAACATACATAAATACGTGCAATACTGTGTGATAAATATGTTAAATTACTAATAATGACGATGCAACTACCTTTCTAACAGGTAAAACCACCGCTGCAAATATGTATGGCCCGAACTATTTACTGTAATTCATATTTAACAAAATGCCAGAAAATGTGCGCACCAAATAACAATACCATATTCCAGTTCAACAGCGTTGGCCAAATGACCGTGAAAGGGTAGTGGAACAGGGTCTTGAGTGAGCACCAGTTGTGGGCTCCACACAACTGGCACGCCGCTGGCAGTGCGGTGCGGTGTCATCCCGTCGCGTCTTATCGTCGTTGCTGGCGTGTGCACGGGTGTCGAACCGGCCGTCAGGACGATCCCAGCGAGCACTTTCCGTCGAGCGTGCGGCGACGTGAAGCCGTCGGTGAGATCTGAAAACTTCTGCTGCACAAGGGATGCGACCGTGTCTGCCAGCACCTGAGCGCAAAGCACACAAAGACAAAGATTCCCCCGTGTAGACTCAACAGACTGTCGGGGCAAGTGCTGTTGGCGAGCAGCAGCACCTGTGGAAGGCTACCGGCACTGTGGCACACGACGGGGTGGGTCGCCAGCACCACGCCCGACCACCTTTGTCTCCCAAGTGGCGATCTTTACACAATGCACTCGGTACTAATTTGAGGCTAAGTCGACCTAGGGGAGGCACAGAACCGGTTCAGATAATTCTCACTGGTGTTGGTGGCCGTGAGCGTCACAAAATGGGCTGCTTAGCCTGATTGTCTTTTGGCGTTGTTCTCTGGTCTGACGCTGGTGAGACGAGGCCCTAAAGAAGGCTCCTGTCTCTGGTATAGGCCAATCAGACAATGCATATTTATTAGCAGAGCATGTTTGCTTGCATGTTCAGCACAAGTACGTGTGGTTAATGCAGACTTGATTCCTTGCAAAAGGTTAATATTGGGTGTTTGGACACCTGTTTATTACTTTGATACTGGAAAATAGGTCTCCAAATATACAATTATTTCTTTAACATGCTGCTATCAATCCATACAAAAGAAGAAGATCCTATTCATGGCCATACTGTGTCCTGTTTGCACGGTAGGATGTCCATCTGAAGAATTCTGGCAAACATATCTCTCACTGTTAGAAAATAAAAAAAATATCAGAAATCACTCAAAATCAAAGACCCTACCACCTTCATGTCAGAGTTTTTTGGGTTATATTTGTTTCATAGCAACGTTTATTTATTTGATCGTGCCTTCCAGTTTACCATGATTTCCAGCTTTGAGAGGTTTTACTTTATAGTGGTCTACATTCTCCCATGTACGGAACTTATATTTTGTTAATTTGTGAACTTCTTCTATCAGTCGATCATAATTGTTATTTTATAGTTATTCTAGTATTAGTCTCCAAGCTCGTTACTAGTAGCCTATTCTAGTACAGTAACCACCCCGGTTTACATCGGGGATGTGCTCCTGAAATGTGCTGCAGCGAACATCGAAACGACGTCGATCAGGGCTATTTTTCCCAATCACCAAAATGCTGTACATGAATGATATATTTTACTCCACAGCACGGTACATTTCTTCATGCGATGGATACGAGCAAGGACGGACGACGCCGCCAGCGACACGTGGAGCTTGAGGCGACGCAAATTTGGTAGCGGTGTTAATCATGTGACAACGTGCTTTGCGAAATTACGGAAAAAGGGGCAAACAAAAATCGGCGTATAACTCTATAATCATTCTATGACTCTAAAATCTGATCAATACTGCCAGAAAAGATCGACTGGAAAATCCTAATCAATTCCATAGAATCACAGGTCGGATCGCCAATTGGTTAAGATTTGTTTCCATATATATACGAGCAGGGCCATGTGATAAAAAAATTATTTGTAAAAAAACAACGCCCCTATTGTCCAACAATGCTTATCTATGGCCTGCCGTGTTTGGAACATCTGATATACACTATATTAAAATAAAACAGCACTTGTCCAGGACGTCGATGGGAGTGGTGGAAATGCTTTGTTGAGCCTCGAAGAGACGCAGTCCAGGGATCGCGCCTTCAATATTTACACATCCGGATTGATGGTGTGCCTGAATGGACTGGGAACTGTATGCTGTCTTGGTGTGGTCTGGGACTATTTTTGATTTGAAGCTTTCATGACTGCAGGAATCCACACTCTTTGGTTCTTTCGGTAAAGTCACGTAGGTATAAGATAAAATAGATCACGACGTTTCGGGCGCAACACAAGCGTCCGTCATCAGGTGGGAAAAGCTTTACCCCCCTCATGATGGTTCCATAAATCTAAAACATACTTACTCAATAAAAAAAATCGAAATGTAAAAAAAAAATCGAGGTCAAAAATGTATTTGCACTCAATCACGGGGCTTGTATCCATTAATGAGGCCTTATCCCCAGATGAAAATTCCACATTACTATGCTAGGAGCAAGCCTCAACCCAGAAAAGCTTTTCCCACCTGATGACGGATGCTTGTGTTGCGCCCAAAACGTCGTGATCTCTTTTATTTTATTTTATACCTACGTGACTTTACCGAAAGAACCAAAGAGTATGGTCTGGGACTGGTTTTTTTGCTGTTGTTTTGCTGCCTTACCAAAGCCTGGGAATTGGAGTACTTATGCAATTTGAATTGATACACTCTATCTATTTTTACGTAATTATTTTTTAGTGATTTCTTTTCCTATACTTTGCACTCCAATCGTTGTTTGTCTTGTTTGTTGTTGTAACTTTTTGACCCCCCCCCCCACACTGGACATCTGTGAAAAAGAGCTTCATAGCTCATCGGATTTCTCCAGCATAAATAAAGATCCTGTTTCTGGGGATGTATGGAGTACCAACGCGTATTTATTGTCTTAAATGGACAGACGCCTGCTCACATCTGAACCACATCTCACACGGGTAAGAGAGCAGAAGTCTCCATTTAATCGCAGACACTCCTGACATTTGTAAAACATTCATTTTGTGTATTCTTGGTTCTTTCGGTAAAGTCACGTAGAAGGGAAATAATCAAATAATAAAAATAAAACAATTAAATTCTCACGACGTTTCATCATCATCGGGTGTTTTTCACACCCGATGATGATTGCTTGTGTTGCAATGGAAATGTCGTGACAATTTAATTGTTTTATTTGTATTATTTTATTATTTCCCTTCTACGTGACTTTACCGAAAGAACCAAGAATATGAATCCCTGCAGTCACGAAAGCTTTAAATCGAAATTCATTTTGCGTTCAACCATATTTGAGTTGCTGTCTTTGGGCTCATCTGTGACTTTCGATTGCAGATTACCACTCTATTTATTTGTAACATGGCGCGCACATATCAGACTTTTATTTTATTTTTTAAAGACATGCGTGCAGTAGTCTGCACCGGGTTCTTTTGTTTGGATGCAGTGTGCATATTTGTGGCTCAGGCTCTGAAGTGCTCGTTATTTTGAGTAAGGTATAAAACTCCAAGTCTGGCAAGCTGTTGACGACATATCATCATACTAATAGGGTTTTCCCCCTTTTTTGCTGGCAACAAAACTGACACCTTTTGCAAGGAATCATGCTTACATTAACCACAATACTTGCAGTCAAATACAAACAAAAAACAATACTTTGATAATTTATGCATTGTCCTTGAAACTGATTGGTCCACACCAGAGACAGCTTTCTTTAGAGCCTAGTCTCATATGGTGTTCGACCAGATGACGCCATATGGTGTTCGACCAGATGACGCCAAAAGGCATGCGCCTTTTGGCGTCATTTGGTCGAACACCATATGAGACTAGGCTCTAAAGAAAGCTGTCTCTGGTGTGGACCAATCAGTTTCAGTCTCATATGGTGTTCGACCAAATGACGCCAAAAGGCGCATGCCTTTTGGCGTCATCTGGTCGAACACCATATGGCGTCATCTGGTCGAACACCATATGAGACTAGGCTCTAAAGAAAGCTGTCTCTGGTGTGGACCAATCAGTTTCAAGGACAATGCATAAATTATCAAAGTATTGTTTTTTGTTTGTATTTGACTGCAAGTATTGTGGTTAATGTAAGCATGATTCCTTGCAAAAGGTGTCAGTTTTGTTGCCAGAAAAAAAGGGGAAAAACCCTATTAGTATATTTTGGTACTGGCAAAGGAGGTCCCATGATGACGTATCATCAATTACGCTGCCTATTCTTTAGAGATTCTAAATGGACAACAGCAATAAACATCCATCCAAGAATTCGCCAGCGTCAACAGGTTCGAACGCCTTAGTTAAATTGTTGTCTCATGAAAGTGATTATCATTTAAAAGCCATTTCAGCTTGCCTTGCATACTGTGTGTCTGTAAAAACACATCTGGTGAGGGAAACAACATTGAGAGTGTATTATTAATTTTAATGACACTAACAGTAAAATGCTTAGTTTTTAAATAAGTTGTTCTATGGCAGTCGAATCTCATACTGGGCCACCAGCAAACTATATTAAACCTGGCGTAATTATAATGCATCTGTAGATAAATTATATTTTTAACGTGGCAACAGAGGCTGCAACATTGATGATGCCTCCCTCACAGTGAAAGTATCCAAAAGATACTCTAAACAAAGGTCCTTGCAATGGTAAGAGCACATTCTTTGTACATTTTAGATACTGCATTGGTTTATTTTGCCAGCAATGTGATGAAGGCTATGTTATTGTTACCCAGTACTGTAATTACAAACTGTAGGTATGAAGAAGAAATGGCAGATTACACTACACACTGCTTTGTAACAGGTTAAACAGTAAATGTACATCCAAAAGCCATGCATTTATGACTCAGGGAATCCACCCCAGACTCTCCAGCTTTGCGCAGGATGCACGCTCATCACACGAGCCCTCACTGGTTCCAGAAATCTAAAATATACTTACTCAATAAACAAAATCTAAATGTTACATTTTTGTTCGAAGTCAAAAGTCAAAAGTGTATTTGCACTCAATCACGGGGCTTGTATCCATTAATGAGGCCTGATCCCCAGATGGAAATTCCACATTACTATGCCAGGAGCAAGACTCAACCTAGAGGGATGATGAGTCGGCCGCAATTGTGAGCAGGGTAAAATGTGCACTTTGTAAAAAAAAAAACCGCTTACAGAGATTCGAACACAGTTTACAGACATGTAAGTATGGCAATACCTTTGTATTTGGTGCTAGAGTATATGACACTAAATTCATCGTCATTATGTTGAGGCCCATCTTATAAAATATGCCACTTTCAAGCTTCACAGACCTCATCACATGAAGCTCCCACAAATACTTTCCCAGAGTTATTCATGAATTTCATCGAGTATAGATAACAATTCGTCTTTAGATAAATCTAGTTCCACATGGAAGCGTGGGACAGTTTCCCAAAGACAAAGGAACTATGCTGAGTATTTTCGTCACTGCAATTTGAAGTCACATCAGACAGCAGACAAAGGTTGCTTTAATCGCCTCCTGTATCAGTATGAAACATGAATTTAAAG